TTTACTGACTACCGGTGCGATCTCCAACGGACTTATAGTTGTAATTTAAAATAAAAGAAACTCTGCGATGGAATGAAGTAAACTCGGTTAGGTTCATTCAAATCGATCCCAATTTCAAAATTTTGAATTTGTGTAATCAAATTCGAACCCCGATAGCACATAGGCGTTGGTTCAACGTCGGACCAACGTTAAAAAATTGCGATTTCACAGCCAACCGTTGGGCTAACATTGGCCCAACGTCGACCTTCGACGTTGGGCGAGCGTCGCATTCTAACGTTGGTCCAACGTAATATTATTATATATAAGAATCTTTATAATTTTGATTCAAAAGGTAAGCACGTGCTTACTATTTCTTACGTAATGTTCTGCTTACTGGCGAATCTACATTTGTGCGAAGTACATGCAAACATTGGCATAAATGTAAACTGGTATAAATAAGCCAATGGAATTTGAAAAAACCGGCTTAAATTACAAAAACAGGCAAAAGAACAAATTGGCATTAATGTAAAATTGCATAAGTGTGCCAAAAGAATTTGCAAAGACTGACATAAGTGTGAACTTGCATGTATGCAAAGCAGATTTAAAAATAGGCATAAGCGCAAATTGGCATATGTGGGCGGAGTCTGAAGATTTACTCAAAAAAAATTTAATTTTTTTTCTTTTTTAGGTTAATACGGTGTTAACCTTTAAAATCGAAATACTGAATGGATGGGGTTGATGTAGAATCGTTTTCAAAGATTGGAAAAAATTTCTTTAACATGTTTAATTTTTCAGGCCAAAATATAATTAAGGGCTATAATCCTTTATTTATAATCGGTCGTCATTCGCTCTAAGTGTATCGTGAGCAATTATCTCTTTAAACAAAACTTTGAGATCAAGAATTTATGAAATAACGGGTGAGAAAATAATATTAATATGGAAATAGGTTAAAAAAAACGTCAATTACTGAACGGTTTACGCCAGTTAAAAACATTATTCCTGATTTTAAACAATATTTTTACATATAAATTTGACAAAAGAAACAAAAAAGGAACATTTTTTACATTTTTATATAAAATCAATCACTGTCAATGTGTGCTATTAGTTGATGGTTTCCATCTTTGTTGCTGTTGAAGAAGTTTTGGCTCTTACGCTTTTAAAGTACACTCTTAAATAAAACGGTGTTAAATTACACTAAAAACGTGTGCAGCATGAAAACACCGAAACGGTGTTAAATTACACTGTTTTAGTCTATTTCATGCTGCACACCTTTTTAGTGTTAATTTACATCGTTTTAGTGTTAATTTATACCGTTTTAGTGTATTTCATGCTCCACACCTTTTTAGTGTTAAATTACACCGTTTTGGTGTTAAATTACACTGTTTCAGTGTATTTTAGACTAGTTTCAAACAAAAACACATCTAAAAATTAACATACACACATATTTAATTATAAAGTACATAAAAATATGTTCCGGTTTATGTTCTACTCATTAAAAAGTTCTTTAAAAATGTCTTTATGGTTCATTTAAAGTTAATGATTTCAATAGTTGACTTGCCTTTATCGATAAAAGAAGAATATTTTTTAATATAAACTGCCAACATTAACCAAAATGATTATGAACTAAGGATACTCTAGGTTAAATGTATAAAAAAAACCCATAGCGTGTATAATATCAACAACCTTTCTTGGGGAGCAACCACAATAACGACATTATAAAAAAAACTCTTTTTAAGCCAGAAAATATTCAAATATTAAATTTGAATTCCAATCACCTCAATCATTTTCCGGTAATTTGAACTTTCATGTTGAGCCAGTGTAAGTCCTTTGTAAAATGGGTGGAGAATTGCTCTGTCAGCATAGAGCTTGTCCCATAAACCGGGAATCTCTTTTCCAACTTTGACTGTATTTTTTTGCAAAATACTTTGGTCTCCTCGTTTATTGTTGGTTTGTTAAGTTAAAAATTTAGATAAAAATCAATATTGACACCATATTGGTTTTTGATCAGAAGAAAAGAATAAATACACCTCAATCTTGATGAGTAGACCAACGATGGTAACGACAATAGAAAATTATTATAGTTATTGACAATTATTAAACAAATTTATACGAGCCAGGATCTTACTCCTCCTAAAAAAGACCATAGCAGTTTTTAAATTTTAGGGGTCTTGGTGATCATTGGGTCCTAAATTTTGGAATTGAAAAAGAAGACTTTCGATTTCAATGTGAAGTCCCCTTTTAATGCAGACTTGGTCCAGAAAATCCTCCTTACCCCCCTCTCCTCCTGAGAATTCGGGATTAACGAATTATAATAATTCGGAAATAAATCTAACTCATTCGCTTGTTCAAGTTTCTCTGATGTAGAGATTTTTTTCACATTTTGGGATCAGTCCCCTCGCTGAAGTCCTCTTTGACCCTCTCAAAAGCCGGCCTCGACTTTAGAATGGATTGCATTATCATCAAGCTGGAACTTTAGCGGATTTCAACAGGTGCAATGATCTTGAAAAATTAAACTAAAAGAAATATTGGCAAAAATATAGTTTAAAACTAGTCAAACTAGGTTATACCAAATACAAATTTTTTTAAACGGTGAAATTAATTGTCTTATACTATGCAATAATATCAGCACCTATAGGTTGAGAAGAAAAAGTTTTGCTCTAATCATAGTTCTGGCGGACTTCATGTGGAAATTTAGATCTAAGTATTTGTCAAAGTTTTGAAATGACATGGTTGATGGCCTCATTGACATGGTTGAGGGTAAGATTACTGCATGTTAAGTACTTCATCACAGCCAAATCAAATTTCAGCTGGACAGGTGATCTGACATTGTGCTTGATAATCCTCCGAAAGTCTGGTGTGTGGTTGTGACAAATGTGGCCCTACCACTAATTGGAAACTTGCGAAAAAGTTTTTTGTCTGTTTTGCCTTTTGTTGGGGTAAACGACACCTAAATTAAATAACATAATGATACGAAATGGATTCATTAAATAATTAAATTTGATAAAGATTTATATTAACAATAAAAAATAAAAATCATTTCATCTTAAATTATAAAATTTGGTAAAAACTTTACTGTAAAATCGAATTTAGTTAAAATAAAACTTGATCTTACTTTGTGAAGCATCAACATCCATCATACATCACACATCAACATCATTCCATCATAAATCATACATCATACATCGATATTAACATCCGGAACCAAAGAGAATTAAACCTGAGTTGCTGGATTGGTCTTTTTTTTTGTTAGAAGTTTTCTTCTCAACTTAGTTGTATAATTTATCAAGTTTCTTAGTATGATTTAGTCTTTTTTGACTCCATGCTGCCTCCATCGAAATAACTGCTCTGGCCTGTTCCGGATGTAAAAACCTTATAAAAATTCTCAAGGAGTTGGTATTTAAATAAGGTGTGGACAGAACTTTTCCACAAATTCTCGCAGGCTCTTTGATCTGAGAAGTTACCTTGAGAATTTACTATTGTCCTCTTTGTTAAAAGTTTTTTTTAACCATGTTGACTTGATTTTAGCTTATTTTGGTTTAAAATTGAACTCGGCTTTTCAAAAAATTAATAAAATTATAAGTGTTTTAATTCATATTTTAATGATTGCTACATATACAATTCGCGATGGATAATTATATATAAATAATTGTGCACAAAATGCTATGAAAAACGGCATTTTCAATTTTTAGTTTAAAATTGTTTTTTTAGATGTAAAATTTAAGCAATTTATTTTTATTTGGAACCATTATTATTTCTGAAATCGCTATAAAATTATGGTTCTTTTGACACCCACGTTGATACACTTTTAAAGAAAAAAAAATTCACTGATATATGGGAGCCAGTGTGTAATCAAAAGTCATGGTAGGTGACCTTTTTCAAAAATTAAACAAAACCAATAACTTTTCAGTTACTTTCAAACCAAATTTCATCTGTTTTTTTTACAGGAAACTGGAGATACCAAAAATTTACTAAAAAGTCAACACTCTACAACACACCCTTTCAAATATGTATCAAATATTTTGTAGCATGCCGGTCAGAGTGGTCAAATTTAATTTTAAATTTCAAAAATAAGTTCTTTAACCTAAAATATCCTGAAAAAAACATGCGAAAAAAATGGCATATTCACAATTAAAAGAGCGGCAGTGGCGCAGTAGTTAGGGCGCTTGCTTTAGAAGCATAAGATCCAGGTTTCAAAGCGAGCTCTGAGCATATTTTTCTCCAACGACAAAAAAGGAGGCGTGAACTTTCGAGTTAAATGCTCTTCCGTGGTGGTCTGTGACTAGATTATTAGGTCTTCTTGGAGCACCAAAAACAAAAATAAAAAAATCATTTAAAAATGTTTTAAAAAGTTTTTATAGATCATTTATATTGATCAAGTTTTGTAAAGAATTGATGATCGAAAATCGGGGGAAAAAAAAAAGATGTTTTTGATTAATTTATTTAAAGTTTAATTTATAATAAGATTTTTGTAACTTTTATTATTTTTTTTTAAACTCTATTAAAAGACTTTTATAAATGATTAAAATACTTTCTCAAAACAATGATCAATATGCCGTCTTTTTCGGTGTAAAATATTTGTTTTTTTTTTAAAAGATACATTGTTTTGGTTGTTATCTACATTATCTACTGTATAATAATACACCTTTTTTTATATGGTAAGATTTAAGTAGATATCATATAATTGCTTATTAATTAGCTACCATATTTATATGGAAAAAAGTATTTGATAAAACATAAAAAAAGTACTTCAATCTTTTTCAAAGTTTTAACTAGTTTAGATTTTATTTTTGAGTGAAGAGAATACAAATTACAATACATATTTTCATTACATATTCACATACTATATATATATATATATATATATATATATATATATATATATATATATATATATATATATATATATATATATATATATATATATATATATATATATATATATATATATATATATATATATATATATATATATATATATATGTATATATATATATATATATATATATATATATATATATATATATATATTCTTAAAAGCTACATACGTTTAGTTTTAATATTTTATGTATTATACTCTTCATTTTCTATAATTGTACTTTTTTACAGTTTATAAAGGCAAGCAACTCTCTGAATTTTTATTATTAGGAAGTATTTGAAATTCGCCATGAAGATTTTAATTCAACCGTTACCTTCTGTGGTCGATTTACAGATTTTAGTTGTATTGAAAGATTGCTATCATAGTCATTTTTAGAATGATGTACTGACGTCTTGGTTTTATTTTTTTCAAAACATTCCGTAACAGTTTTTTCCGAAGTTTTTTCAGCTTCTATTTCTTTAACCAAGTTATTTTCTCGTGAGTTTATTAGAACCTCACATTCTTGTGATTGTGAATTAGGATCTATGGGTGAAGATATAAGATTTGAAGTAGTGCTAGATATTTTTGGTATTGTGTTGCAAAAAGTAATGTTTTTATTTTTAACATGGTGAGTTGGTAAAAATGTTATGTTTGACTTAAAACTACGTTGTTCAGTTGTTGCGCTTTCTGAGCAAAGAAAAGAATCTGGTAATGTGCCAATATTATTAGCAGGTAGCTTGGAAATAGACGTTACATAAGAAACGGGTGTCACACTGTAAGCAGTCGTTTCGTGAAAAACAGATGAAACATTTGACAAAGGCGCAACATAAGGCATAGAATTTTCATGTAAATTGCTATCTTGTATGGTTTCATTGATTGCAAATAAATTGCTCTTACAATCTTTGAGTTGGTATTCTAAGTCGTCTTCTTCGATGGTTGACGAAAATACTTGCATATTAAAGTCAGTATTTTCATCTTGCCATAGCGTTTTGTCATAAGAGTTCTCTAAACTGTTGTTGCTTTGTTGTTTGTTGTTTGTTACTTCAAAAATATTGGCAGAAAACGGGTCGTCATTATTTTTATCATCAATTAAGTGTGAAATTTTATTTTTACTTTCGTTATCTAATTGTATTGATTGCAAAACTTGGTTTTGAAGTGTGACACCAGGAGAAAAAAGCATGGAGTCAAGAGAAGGTCTTGAAAACTTTAAGGTTTTCCTTTTATTTGTTTTTTCTTCAAAACAGTTACTAAAGTTGTTTGATTCTTCACAAGGTTGACTCCTAGAGTTACCCACTTGATTCAAATCTTCATCAAAGTGTGAACATTTACTCAATTCACTTTTTCCTAATTCATCTTTTGTTAAAGAGTCATCTTGTTGCCCATTTGTTACGTCATTCTTAAATTCTCTAAGTATATCGTTCTCTTGCGCAAAAATTTCTTCAATTTTGTAGTCGCTAAGTTTGTATACTCCGTGATTTTCTTTTTCACTAATTGGTTCGTTTGTATTAGAAAAACTCTTTGCTTTTGTTAGCAGTTTTAACTTTTGTTTTTCTTTTGTTTTCAAAACACTAAAATCTATTACTTTGTTATAATCAAGGTATTTTGGTGAAGATATATCCTCATAAACTAGTTCTCTGTTGCATACTTGGATACATTTTGGCATATTTTTTGTGAGATTTACTTCAAGATCTTGATCTAATTTTTCTGGAGTTGTTTCGCATTGTTTTGCAATACAATCGTTTACAATGTAGCTATTTTGATGAAGTGTTTCTTCATCTAGCATATTTAAATCAAGCATCTTCGAAAAGTCAATATCTGATTCTTGTAAAACAACCGAGCAACTTACAATTTCGTCTTCTATATCTTTTATAACCTGTTTTTCTTCATTCAATAAGTTTGAGAAATTGCATTCACTCTTATTTTGCTTTGCTGTTGAAATGTCGCTTTCGTTTGTTGGAATGTCGCCTTCGTTTAGTTCCTCGTTTTCACGGCACGTTTTTAAAATTACAAAAGCGATGTTTGAGATTTTTTTTGCTTTTTCATTAACATATTCATGTTCTTTATTATCCTTGTTTAAATTTGTGAGGTCATAATTATTACTTTCTTCGTTTTCATATATTGGTTCGCTTGATCTGTAGTTATATTCACTTGATCGGTCGTCATATTTCTTTGATCCATAATCAAAACTCTTTGCTGAGCTAATTTTCGATTGTAAACCTTTCTTGCTTTTTTTCAGTTTCAATAAAATATTTTTTTGAATGATTTCTTTATTCGAAGCATCAAATGTCTTTGATCGCTTTTCTAGCATTTTATATTTTCTTTCTGGTCCAGGTTGAGCATTGTTATAAGTGCTTTCATCGTTTCTAATGTTTTCAAGAATGCTTTCATCGCTTCTTGCATCATTGCAAAGTCTTTGTGCTGCTAGTTTTTCCAAGAGCTCAACAAGTAAGGCTTCTTTTCTGGATAACACCTGGGACGTAATTTGTGAAGTTTCGCGTTCAAAGATATTTTTGCTGTTGTCAGAGTCAAATGAATTTGAACAAACTTGAGATGAATGTGCATAGTTATTCTCTACGTTATCAATATTGTTTGAGATATCATTATTGTTGAAGCTATTACCATTATACATAACATTTACTTCACTCATTGTTATTGGAGTTTTATTTAAATCATCGGTAATATTTGAAGTATTTTTGGAAATTTCTGCTATATCGTAAATATTAGTGGTACTGTTATACGTAATACTATTTTCATTTTTAACGGAGGTTTCAATAAAGTTGCTAACAATATTTGTCATATAACAGTCTATATTATTTGTTAAATTTTGGTAGGTGTGATTTGCATATTTTTTGACATGATCAGTATTATTTAATACATTTACGGTGTTAAATGCAGTATTATCTTCATGTCCTATAGCTACAACTACGTTAAAGTTGTCGGTATTACATGCATTATTCTCCATATTATTTACGATATTATCAGTGACAGTTGTTATGTTTTTGGTATGTTTTATAGCATTTTTATTACTTTCTATAGTTGCAGTTTTATAAATGTTATCAGTGCCATTTGTAAAATTTTCGGTATAATTCGTTGTTTTAACAGTTACACCTTGATTATCATATTCGTTTTTTGTGGTTGGAATTTCGTTGAGGTCGGGGAAGTTATTTTTGTCATTTTTCTCAATTGCGATAATGTCATTCGAGTTGAAGTTATCAATTTTCCTTGTTATACTCTCGGTATATTTTGTAGTATCATAATCACTTTTTGAGGATGCAACTTCATTAAAATTATCACTAATATTTATGATATTATCTGCATTATTTAAAACGTTGTTGCTGGGAAATAGTATATTATTAGTATTTTCTGTGGCATTATTGCTGTAACATGTAGTTACAGTATTATTGAAGCCAACGGTGTCAGTCATTATTTCTTCTGTAGTATTTACGCTGTTGTTAGGAACGGTTGTTATGCTATTGGTATGAATGCTCAAATTATAAACATCTTTTATGCAAGCAATGTTGTTGTAGTCATTAATTTTACTTCTTGCGTCATCTGAAATATTTGAAATACTTTTTATTTTATTTACGATATTATCTGTATTGTTGTCAATGTTATCAGCATCATATGCTTGTATTAAATCCCTAGGTCTGGTTTTATTGACGTCTTTAACAAATTGATTGGTATTGTTGTCAACATTTAAATTTTCAGGTTTAGTGTCTACCATATAAGCATTCTTTTCATCCTGAGTTTTTTTAATATTTGTTTCTTCTGTCTGAAGTTTTGTTAAAGAAACCTCTGGAAGCAAATGTTCAACTGATGTTGTTTCAAATTGTGTTGTTTCAAACTCAAAATCTTTAACTGATGAAGACTCTAACTGTGTAAGCTCTTCAATTAATGAAGTCTCTAACAGTGTAAACTTTTCATTTGACAAAATCTCTAAATTTGTAACTTTTTTAACTGTTAAGGACTCTAAATGTGTGACTTCTTTAATTGATGATGTCTCTAATTGCGTAATCTCTTTAACTAATGAAGTTTCTAACTGTGTAACCTCTTCGTTTGACGGAGTCTCTAACTGTGTAACCTCTTCATTTAACGGAGTCTCTAATTGAGTAACCTCTTCATTTGATAGAGTTTTTAACTGTGTAGCCTCTTCATTTGACAAAGTCTTTAATAGTGTAACCTTTTCATTAGACAAAATTTCTAACTGTCTAACCTCTTTATTTAACAAAGTTTCTAACTGTGTAACTTCTTCAACTGATGAAGACTCTAACTGCGTAATTTCTTCATTTGGCAAAATCTCTAACTGTGTAACCTCTTTATTTGACAAAGTTTCTAACTGTGTTTCTTTTTCAACTGATGAAGTCAGTTCATCAATTGACGGAGTCTCTAACTGTATAACCTCTTCATTTGACGGAATCTCTAACTGTGTAACCTCTTCATTTGATGGAGTCTCTAACAGCGTAACCTCTTCAACTGATAAAGTTTCTAAATTTGTATTTTCTTTAAATAATGAAGTCATTAAATGTGTAGACTCTTCAATTGACGAAGTCTCAAAATATGCAATTTTTTTAAATGACGAAGTTTCTAACCGTATACTCTCATCAACTAAAGAACTTTTTAATTGTTTAACGCTTATAACATGTAAACAATCTAAATTTGTATCAATTTTTTGATCCAACTCATTAATATTTTGTTCTGATTCTAGCATATTTTGATCTAACTTGAGTATGTTATGATCTGTTTTGTTCACGTTTTGATTTGACTCGGTAACATTAAGATCTGACTCAGGCACATTAAAATTTGATTCAGGGACGTTAAGATTTGATTGTAACACATTTAGATCTGACTGGTACATGTTTAAATCAGTTAAAATTACATTATGGTTTAACTTGGCAAAATTTATATCTGTTTCAGACCCATTGTTTGGCTTTAACATTTTTATATTAGTCTCGAGAACGTTTAGTTCTGATTCAGATCTATTCAGATCAGACCCAAGTATATTTTGCCTAAAATCAGTTATACTATTACTAGAAATATTTAAATCTAAAACATTTAAATTTAGTTCTGGAACATTTAGATCTGATTCAAACATTTGAGAATTTAATTTAGACACATTTGTATCTGACTCTGTCACACTATAACTTAGTTTATGCGCATTTTTATTCGACCCAAGTTCGTTTTGATGAAAATGCAGCTCGTAAGTAAAAGAACTTTGTAAAGTTTTCTGAATCGAATTTTGTTGCAGTTTTGCAATATCGTTGATCGAAGTCTTTTCAAGTTTGATTTGGTTATCGAGTCCATCAATGATAGCTACGTGATCTTTTAAAAGATTTCCTTGAAGTTCAAGTTTATTTTGCTTCATTTCTAAGAACTCCTTGTCGCCTTTCAATAAAAGTTCGTCTTCCTTTTTCTCTGGTAAGTTAAAGTTGTTTTCCTTTTTGTTTTCATTCGTTAGTTTAGTTTCAATAACTTCATTTTTTGTTAATGATGAGCTTTTCTTTGAATATTTATATTCCTCTAAGTTCAATTTTAAACTCAGTTCGAACTCCTTGATTATTTCTTCAGATAATTTTAAAGCAAAATTTTCTAACTCCTCTGTTCGTTTATTTTTAAATGAAATTGACGGTAAGCATTCCAAACATTCAACCATTCCAAAGGAGTTGATTATTTCCTCGCCAGTAACATTATTGTAGCTTTCCTTCTTTATTATATCATCGTCGTTCGTCTTTTTTAATGTACTTTTATCGTTTGCCATTTTAATCATGTTTTTCAGAATTTCAAAGCGATTATCTGAATCATTTAATTCCTTTACTCCATTAAAATCTTTTTTCTTGTTGCATTGTTTCAAGACCAAACTAATCTAATAAAAATATGAATTAGACGCTATCAAAGTAGCATTTATTTTTAATCTTAAAAATAAGTTGGTAATGCTATATATATATATATATATATATATATATATATATATATATATATATATATATATATATATATATATATATATATATATATATATATATATATATATATATATAATTAAATATTATCAACTTAATTTAAATATCATAAATAAGAGATATAAATTCAGCTATTTATTAAATAATTACTACTTAATAATAAACTATTATCATTAACACAGTTTGGTATTTTATAATAATTTTAAATAAAACTTCAATTGAATAAAATGATTTTCTAGTGAATTTATTTTAAGTCACAAAAAATAATTTAGGACTTTATTTATTACCAATAATTTCTAAAAAAAACTACGTTATACTCTAAAATGACGACGTAAATTATCTCAATATTTTCAATTTAAGCCTCATTATAAATTTTGTTATAAGAAATCGTCCATAAATTGCGTCACGCAATTTTAAACCGCCGCCCCTCTCCCTTCCTCTCGTCCCAACATTGTAACACTAGTAAATAGTCATGTATGAGTTGTCACAAAACCACTAACCCCCTCCTTCTCCTTAAAGCGTAATTTATGGACGACCCCTAAGGTTTACAACAACTGATCAAGAAATCTTTGCGCTACTCTTGAGTACTTGCAATGATTATATTTATTTTTTTATTATTCACTTGCTGTTTTGCATTTTACTGCAGTTGTTTTTTTTATTTTATTTTCTTTTTTCGATTTTTGTTTTTAATTCTCATCAATTTATTTAAGTATTAACTAAAAAGAAAAGTTGATTTTAAACCGTATTATTCAAGTTTAGAAACATGACTCAATTCACACTTTTTCAGAGTTTGAGCTCAAATCAGAAAAGATTTAATAAACTTAGAACATTCAGTTCTAGATTTTGGGAGCAAAGAGATGACTTAAAAAAATATATTGAGTTGTCATCCATGATTATTAAAAAAACCTGTAGTTGTTTATATTAAGTCGTATAAAATTTATTCAAGAAAGTTATTATGTCAATCGAACAAATTAAAATAAGGGAAAAAATTCTCCATATATATATTATATTTTTCCTGAAGCTCATAAAAATTATATAGTTTTAATAATAAATTTTTTTTGATAGTATCAAAACCGACGAGTTTATATTACCCAAAATACCGTTTTATCACACGCTTTGAAACATGTGTTAATCTTTTAATTTAATATTATACTAAGAAGTGATGAGTCATGATGAGCCATACCTTATTAAAATTTGTACTTTCAAAGAATAAAAATTAAAGAGATTAAATCATAGAATATGATTAATAATTAGTTAATTTAATATTTTACTCTATAAACTATAAACAAGCGCTTTAATGAATGAACAAGTATTGTATACCAGTTGACAACTTGTTTATGACAATAGACCTTTTCAAAAAACATTCCGAAAAATCTGTTGTTTGTAAAAATCTAAACAAGTTTGTTCAATTGATTACTAAATGTGGCTAAAAACTAAAAAGTATAAGAAACACATCGCACCTAAACCAATTTTTAATATTTTTGAAAATCAATGATTTGCAAATCATTGATTTTGAGATTTTATGAGAAATTTTTTGATAGAATATAAAAAAAATTTTCATGTTTGACCCCTTCCTCCCTGCCACACCTTTTGAATAGCTTTTTTTTTTCTAAAATTACGATAAAAAAGACAAAAATATTTCATTTTTCAACTATGTTCAGATGTAGTTTCTTGACTAGTTTTGTTTAATATCCGGGCCGACGACAAGGGTTTCGAAGTGGAAAAATTTGAATATCTTGCCGCACTTTTTCAATTTCAACCCTCGCCATTCTTTTTTCTTTTATAAAATATTGCCAAATGACAGAATATTTTTCTATATTTAACTAATATTTGTAATTACAAATTATTTTATTCCAACCTACTTTTTTTTATAAAATATGGAATCTTGAACTATAACTTTTAATTAAAAAAGCGTAACTTAGAAAATAGTTTTAAAATTTATTAAAAAATTAAAACTTCATTTCTATAGCAAAGAAACAAAAAAAAAAGATTGATATATATTGATAATATTAAAGCATGATGGGATTAACTACTAAAAAATTTAAAATATGTGATGTTTTAATAAAATTTATGACAACAAAATAATTATAATAGAAAACTATTATTGTTAAAAAAAAGGTAATATCTGGAGCACACATAATTGAGATTTTGAACTCCTAGTTTTCTAATGTTTGGAAAAACTTATCTGAATGATGATTTTCTTGTGCACATGAAAAAATCTTTTCTGCTCTTCTCTGTTTGACTGATCCTTCAGCTGTATTGTTGACAAATATTAATAATTTAAAATGCTCAAACATGCGCTTAAGTTTTTTGTTTTTAAAACTCTGGGGATTTCTCCAACCAATCACCATCTTTGTTTGAATATCCAAATAAATTTAGAATGTTGTATGAGTTTTGTCCAACTAAATCAGTCAAACGATTACTCGGTTTCAAAAGACGAAATTGTATTTTTTTTTAATTTTTTCTTTAATTTTTAATATAAATTGTGTAAGCAATTTTCGCTTTATTACTTTATCAGAATATATTGATAGCAAAGACATTTCTGCTGTCAAATGCTAAAAATGATTGATTAAATTTTTTGAGAGCAGCAACAATAACACCATTATCAAGTTTTTTATAAATAAAGTTTTTTTTTTAAAATTCTAAGACTTTAAATAGTGCATTAATTGTGTTTGTATACGTTAGCAACATTTTCACATAAAAGTAAACTTACAAAACCGTAATAATTTCTAAACTTAACTTTCTTTCTACTCTGCCAAGTCAGCAAAATTGAACATTTTTAGAATTTCAATGTCAAGTCAGTAAAAACATTTTTGATATGTACTAAATAAAAACTAAAATACATCCAGCGAGCATGATGGAAAGCCTCAAGCTTGTGCCATTGTTTACTTAAGTGTTTTACATTTAGTAATTGTAAAGCAAGTCAGAAGAATTCCCGATAATTATCGTTAAGATTTCCATTAAACTAAAAAAAGGACAAAATTTTTTTTGCTTGTTTGCTTGTTTAGTTTCTGTTTCCTCAATTTTTATTTTCCTAAAGAAGTTTTTTCTTTGCTGGATGGATTCAACCTATCAACCGTGAATGTAACATGCGGGTATTCTTATTTCTTATTTTTTTCTTCCGTCTGCGAAAGAACATTTTTCTTCTCCGTTAGAAACTTTGTCTTCATTATTCTTTAATATTTTCTTTTTTGATTCCTTTTTTTAGTTGTTTCTATTTTCTTTGGTTCATTTTGCTTCTTTCTTTTCACTTTTTACATTAAATCAAATTTTAGTATCTAATGCCTCAATTTTAATTTTCTATCATATCATATTTCTGTCATTTCAAACAGAGACGATATTTAAATAGTAAAACTCAGAAATTGAGCTCCATTTAATTCATTTAATTTAAAGATGTATCAAATGTAATATTATTCTAACTGTACTTTTGATTTATTTTTTTGGAAATCTGACCATTTTATAAAAAATATTCACTTTTTCACTTGAAAACAGATTCAACTTTTTTTTTTTACCATTTAGTTTCAAATCTTATAAGATATAGATAATGGCTTTAAATTTTTCAATCACTTGTTAGGTGACTAAATACCTTTGTTAAAGGCCTAGGTAATAACATCTTGGCAAATTTATTAGACATTTTATGCTACTTTAACTGGATATAAAAATAACTGCATGTTATATAAATATAAAATTATTTTTTAAATGTATTAATAACTATATTACTTATAAAAATATTTTCCTTTTTAACTTTGGATTTTAATAACTTTTGAAAATCTATTGAAATGTATAAATATAGTTAATTATTATGTTAAATATTTTATTTATATGTATAATATCATCCAGGGGCGGATCCAGCATTTTTGTTATTTGAGATAACTAACTTCCAGATATGGAACAAACTTGAAACATGTCAAATAAGGATGCTTTACAAAAAATTGCGATGATTGGAGCCTGAAAACAAAATTGTCCTAAAATTTTGTCCAGAACTGCCCCATACGAGAGAGCAAGTTGATAATACATTTTTTTGCCGTTCTCAACTAAATTTATATTCATCAATAAGTTTTAAATTTTACAGTATAATCTGTCAGCGTTTAAAAAATTATGAAAAATTATTTTATAAAACTTTATATTATTTAAAAATAATATAAAGTTTAAATACAAAGTTTTAAATCATTAACTCCTCAATTTGAGAGGTTAAAAATTTTATATGTTGAAAGAATATTGTACAAAATTTAAAATTTATCGATGAATACAACTTTAGTTGAGAATAGTAAAAAAAGTATTTTCTCAATTTATTACTCCCAGCACAAAGTTTTAATGAATAATACAGCTTTAGCCTACACAAGCATGGAAAAGGATTTAGGAGTGTACATTTCAAATGATTTGGAATGGAAACACCATGTAAATAAAGCAGTAAATAAAGCAAATCAAAAGCTAGGTCAGATCAAACACACTTTTAAATATTTAGACAAAAAAACAATGAAACTCTTGTTTATAGCCTTAGTACGTCCACATTTGGAATACGCAGCTCCTATCTAGAATTCTTATCGTCAGTATGATAAAGATAAACTAGAGTGTGTCCAACAAAGAGCTTCTAGAATTAAAATTTTGAAAGGATACAGTTGTGAAGAGAGGTTAAAGAAGTTGCTTTTACTATCGTTGGAGAACAGAAGAAGAAGGGGTGATTTGATACAAATGTTCAAATATTTGAAAGGGTACGATGTTATAAATTTTCACACAAAACCCGAAACGCTAGATAACGGATATAAAACTAGAGGTCACAATAGTAAACTGAGAATGCAATATACAGGAAATATAAAACGGCACAATTTTTTCACAAATAGAGTAGTAAACGACTGGAACAATCTTGAACAAGAAACAATATACGCAGTCAGTATCAACCAGTTCAAAAAAAAATTGGATGAACATTTTAAATACTAACTTTTATTATGTTTGTATGTTAGTGTGTTACAGCTGTTAAAGTTACAAACTCTACGTAGTTTGGACTCATCACTCTTTAAGTGTACAGCACTATTATATAATATTATATGTTTTGGGCAGTTGTATCCAAAGTTTTAGGGCTTTTTTGTTTCCAGGCTCCAATCATCGCAATTTTTTGCAAAGCATCATTATTTGAAATAAGTATAAACATATGAATGTTTGGTGTTTCTCAAACATCAAAAATTGCTTGATCTGCCCCTGTCATCTTTTATACATTGTTCAGATTTATAACAAAGATCGATATGATGCAAAGTATGTTTAGTAATTAAAACAAGAAATAGATTTTCATATTTAGTCTAAAAAGTTTAAAAAAGAAAAACTTTCAAAAAGAGTGTGACAGAGGAGAGATGGTCGAGGTGAAACTTTCAAAAAGGTGTACATATATATATATATATATATATATATATATATATATATATATATATATATATATATATATATATATATATATATATATATATATATATACATATATATATATATATATATATATATATATATATATATATATATATATATATATATATATATATATATATATATATATATATATATATACATATATATATATATATATATATATATATATATATATATATATATATATATATATATATATATATATATATATATATATATATATATATATATATATATATATATATATATATATATATATATAAATTAATACAAGTTTTATAGAACTCTGTAGAATTCTAAAAGTTTCTGTAGGCCGTATGTTTCAAGTTTGTAGAAATTCTACAGAACATTTTTTTACTTTGAATTTTTTAAAATAGTAGCATAACATTTGTTTAAAAATTCTTTTTTTTCAACGCAGCCTATATAAAGTTCAAAGTATGAGTGTTAATGTTTTTTATATATTAAAGTTATGTAATGGAGCGAAATCGGGTGTTTACTCCAAATTTTTATATAAGCATAGTTTAAAAGGTTTGCATTTTTTCATTAAAAAAAGCCTTATCTCACAGCCATTCGTTAAAAAAATCTCGCAACCCTTATTTTACGAATTTTAGCATAGCATACTTAAAGCCAACTTGCATATTTATATTTTTTTCATTTAAAACTAGAATTAAAAAATGTCTGTACGTTTCAAAAAAATACTTCTAAGTAGGATTATATCAAAATGGAAATTTGAAATGTTTTTACTAGTGTTAAGTTGAATGCGTTTCTGTTAAGTATAACAAATATATATTATAAAAAAAAACGTGAAAAATGACTGGTTTACCTCACTAAAATTTAAGGGAAAATCTGTGTTTTCTGGAAAATATGTTGTATTTTTTGAAGTCTGTAATTCTTGATCAGCTTTTTCATAGGTTCTTAATTCTTGATCAACATTTTCAATGGTTGTTTCTTTGTTGTCTATTTTTTCTTTCGAAGATAGTTCTGAAAGTTTTGTCGAACACGTTTCTAAACTTGTTGCACCATTTTCTATTGTGTTGCTCGTCAATGGATGGGTGATTTTTTTGTCAATAATATAGTTTTTGTAAATGTCTTTGCTTTGCGAAATTTTCCCTGTAATTGTATACTCCATTATTTTAGTTTTGTCACGAACACTAAAATCTCTTTCAACTTCATCACTCACACTTTGTGTGATAAATACGTCCATTTCATTTAACAGCGAGTCGACACTTCCTGAACGTGACAAGCCTTTGGAAGTATAAGTGAACTCGTTCTCAAATCTTTCTCCATCATTAATTGTAATTTTAATGCCATTAATACCGCAATCACCAGAAAAATTAGTGGTTACCATTTTATGTGTTTGTATTTTTGAGTGTGAATTATCTATCGACTTTTCCAATATTGTTTCTTTGTCTTTTTTTAAATTTAGCAATTTATCAATTAAAGTATCGTCTATATTTGTTTTCTCTGATAATGAATTTTGACTTGATAAATAATTTGTACCACTATTAGTCATATATTGGACAGGAGTTGTGCTGGGAGTGTTGGGTAAATTTGGGGATGGTAGTGCAGTAAAATTATCATATCCACATGTGATTATGTTATCATTTATATCTAAAAAAAAAAAATAGCAACAGTAATATCCATATTTATTGGCTGTTATCGTTTATATCTAAAAAATGAATTGTAACAGTAATATCCACGTGTGATGATGTTTTCATTTATATCTAAAATAAATGAATTACAACAGTGATTTAGATAGAACAGTAGTAAATGTATGATTTACCGAACAAATAAAATTTTATTTCTGTATTATTAGTTAAAATTTTTTTTAAAAACTAATGTAAATTTGGTTGATTAAAATACAAAAATACAAAGAGGTCCTCAATCTTTTGCAACATATTTTATAAAACTATGTTTATTTCTTCTAATTTTTTTAAAATAAACATTGAAGGGTAATGAAATAGGTCTTAGTAATATATTAATCCAACATTGGTAAATATAATATAATACTTAGTTATCCCGTAAAGGTGAAAATAAAATTAAAAATATTTTTTTGCAACTTAACCTTCTATGGGACGAGTTGCAACAGTGAACAGGCTAAGTTGCAAAACAATAATTTAAAAATCCTATAGAAAACTCAAAAAAATTATTAGGTGCTTTGTAATTTACATTATTTTAAATAAATTTTATTCTTATAATAGAGAAAAAGTAAAACAGAAAATATCCGTGACTCAGAAGCAGTGGCGTCGCTGAGGCTGGTGTCACCCAGTGCGGTGAACTCAGGGTGTCACCCCTCTAGACTTTCACTATGGATCTCTTCAGAGTTTCTCTGTACTAGACCATATACATAATCCGATTCTGATAATTGTTTAACGCTTAAAATAATTATTTTCTTAAAAAAGAGTCTGTAAACAAGCTTTATAATTTCCTGAAACCACTTGACTCCACGCGTCATCAATAGTCAGTAGCACTGGTCAACAAAGAAAAACTTTTTGGATGCACCATGAGGGTGGAATGCAAGAAGCAAACTTGAGTCAAGTTTGACTTGAACTTTACTTTGTAACCAATAGCGGCAGAGTATTTTTTGATGGGAAAACCCATACTCTGTCGCTATTGGTTGCAATGTAAAGTTCAAGTCGAGCTTGACTCAAGTTCGCTTCTTGCATTCCCTAAATCTATATAGCTTTTTCTAAACCAGTTTTTTGCGCTGATTTCAAATCTGCTTTCAGTTCTTCCAGCACGTCTAGTTGTTGAGATAATTGGAATTTTAATTCTCGGACATTTTGTACTTAATCCCTATACATAAACATTGATAAACATTCAATATATCAAGATCCACTTATGTTTCTATACAAATAAGTCAAAGTCTCTGTGACTAGATTTATTTGTAAACATTTATACACATTTAATAGTTTAAAGACTGTTGACTAAAGCATATAAACCACTTAAAATCTCTGTGAGCATGACTTCCTTTTGTAGAATTTTTCTGATTCATCACGATAAAACATCCAACAGTAGTCAGCTAACATGCTTTCATTCCAGAATCCTTGGTAACGTTTTTCCATCACTTGAATATCTTGTTGGAATCGTTCATTTTGTTCATCACTCACAGTGCCCAAATTTTCAGGAAAAAATACCAAATGCGAATGCAGAAAATGCATTTTCAATGACATACCACAGCCCAATTTTAGGAACAAATCGAGTAGCTTTTGAATACAATTTTCATATTCACACAATTTGTGATTCCCCAAAAAGTTCTTACAAACTCATACAAACGCTTTCCACGCTTCTTTTTCGTCGGAAGTGACTCTTCAAATCCATGGTCTTTCAAAACCTCTCGAATTTGGGGTTTTTTCAACCAAGTATTGAAAACCCGCTGATTCAGTTTTACCTAATACTTTTACAAAGTTTTTTTATCAAACCAAGCTTGATGTGAAGCGGTAGCAAAAAATTTTTATGTCTGGATCAACCAGCAGAATATGGTAAATGCTGCTTACACCAGGTTTGTATTCAGTTTTCAACATCCAATCACGTTTTACGTAATGTTTATTCACAGCACGACTATTCCATAAACAAAGAAAGCACCAGAACTTGGTAAACCCTGTTTGCATAACCATTAACATACCAATCACTTTCAAATCACCACAAATGTTCCACTGATGAGTTTTGTAATTAATAGCGTCTAGTAATATTTTCATATTTCCGTGAGTTTCATTCAAGTGTACGGAATGAACAATTGGAATATATGGCTTCTGATTGCTAATATACAACAACATGACCTTCAAACTCCTCTTGGATGAATCAATGAAGAGGCGCCAATCACGAGGCGAATGCACTTGGGATAAATTTTCGAAAAGACCAATGATATTATTGCAGTAGCACAAGAGTCCATCGATGGTGAAAACCTAGATAAATCGTTGTTGTGCTTTCGAAAGTGGGATACTTTGACATCAGCTGCTGACAAATTCTTTTCTTTCAATCTTAACGCCAAAAGTTCAGCTTTTGACTTGGAAAGGGACAAGTTTCTAACCAAATCATTCAGTTCACCTTGTGTGAAAACTTTGGGCTCTTTGCCGTATATATCTGGATCAAAGTCAACATCAGCCGCATCTTGACGTTCAACATCAACAACACATTCGTCTTCAACAGAGTCATATCCATCAGCTGGTGGTACTGGAATGAGCAGGGTGCTGTCATGAGGAACAGGCCTCATGGCCGAATACAAATTTTCGACGAAAATCCAGCAGTATTAACAGCGCAAAAATAGCAGTCATTGTAATGACCTTTTGGTTCCCTTCAAATCATCGGTATAGCAAATTGAAAAAAAGACCTTCGTTTGTTGATCCAATCTCGTAATAAGCTGCAACAACTATATAAAGCCACATGCGGTGCCCAAGTTTTATCTTGATCTCCCAAAGGACAACCGAAATACAGCTTGTAAATTTTTGGAGTGATTTTCTTTCACTGCCCTGACAATGTAAATTGCCCACAAATGTAGCAAAAGGCGCTTGGTGAATTTTCGCAATTTCTAGGTATTGTATAAGTTAATTTTATTGAAATAATTACCCTGAAAATAAAGAAACAGTATATTTCACACTGAAACTATATATTAGTGCAAAAACACACATGCATTATCTCAGGATTCAGACGTGCTGGAGAAAAACTAAACACAGATTAGGAATCAGCGTGAAAGATTACATCTAGCAAGCCTAAAATTAAAGCTGGTGCAAATTCATTGTTGACCAGTGTAGTGTTCCGAAGTCGTGACGTCACTGGTTCCAATATTAGGTCTATGTTAAGTAGGCCTATTCAAGATTATAGGTTCGTGAATCATGATCAGAACCAGGAGGAAAGGTAACTTGTTCAGTGACGTCTCACTTCTGAACCCTATTGGCGCGTTTGTAAATAACTCAGGATTTTATTTTGAGGCTCCGAGCAGCTATGAATGACTGAATCTAATTCATTTAGGCAACAGACGCTCTGCAGCCTCTGTCTGGTGGATGGTGGCACTATGTGTCTTCTTGTGTATATTAAAATGAACGGTTATGAAACCCGACAGCTCCAACTAGAGTGAGCTGATCTCGGCGAACTCTACTGTCTGAGACAGAGCCAGGGGTAACACCAAAATGAAAAATTTCCAATTGTGACTACTGGCTACCAACAACTTGTTTCGTCACACAAAAATTGATTTTTTTTTTCATTTTGGTGTCACCCCTCTGTATCAAGTTGTGACAGTGTCACCTGGTGCGGCCCGCAACTCCCGCACCCCCCTAGCGACGCCACTGCTCAGAAGTATTTTCTACAATACTTTTATCACGTAAAACTGCATATAGGTCTGATATGTTTACCGAATTTATGCTTACATTGCATTTTAAATAATTTTAGTAAAAAACTAGATCTATTATTATAATAAAAATATCTATTATTTTAGAAAACTCTTCCTGTTGTCTTTTTTTTTTAGTTTTTATTTAATATGTTTCAATAACATAGTTTACATTTTTACCTTTATAACTTGTGGGGAAAATGTTTACTTGCAGAAATTGAGTGTCTTTACTTGTAGAAATTTGTATTTTGAGTTTTTATATCCTGTTATAATTTTTTTCAAATTCTAAGTTATTTTTATTTGTTGAACATACAAACCTTCAGTTTTAAAAAAAATTAATATTCTTTTTCTTCTTTTAAATCCTCTTAAATTCTTGACAATCACCACATCAATAAGAAGAAAAATAAAAATAACAAAAAAGAAATAGACTAGTTTAAATAAAAATTTGGTATCTGGTTGAAGATCTAATAATCTTGACGCCATAAAACGTTATAATAAAATATAACTTAAGCCATTAATAAATATAAACAAATAAAAATGACAAAATACAAAAGCAAAAAATCGTGTTTATATAAATATCTCATTTTTAAAAGTATTTCAAAATATTTTCATAAAAAAGAATGAATTACTTTAATTTCTTTATAAAGGTCCATGGAGCCCTGGGGGTCCAAAAGAACTTTTTAAGCGGACCACAAGATAAACGTAAATTCTAAATATTTTTTGGTAGTGAAACTTAATTTTGATTATTTTTTTCTGTTGAAAGAAACAAATTAAATTTTAAATTAAAAATGTAATTTATGCGAGAAAGCTGTTACACAAAATTTGCGTTAACTAATTCGACGAGACTTGCGGACCTCTACGAAGTAATAAATGCTATATAATAGACGATTTCGGAGTTAGCGTAGCCATCTTGGAAAAATATTCTTGGGGGTGCAAGTTGAACTTTGAACCTTCCGTTTTTATGCAAAATGTCATATAACAAGTATGAAGATTTTCTCAATTTAAGTTCAAAAAAACTCATAGATTATTTGTCTATTCGTGGTTTGAAAATAACTGGAAAAAAAGTTGAACTTGTTGCAAGAGCTTTTGCTGCTAAGGAGCTTAATCTTGATATTATATGTTCTGCTGAAGATCAATATAAAAGGCTTCAAATCAGCCAGTTGTAACAATGGGAAATATTTTTGTTTTTATTTTAAAGAAAAAAGAGTTTAATATAAAATGTTTTTAAAAATTTTTATATTATATTTTTTGCAAAATTACTATTGATAAGTATAAATATGTTTATACT